AATTTCATCCTGTTATGGTTAGAGAAGATACTTTGTACGACATCTACCTTTTTTAAATCTATCAGTACTTACTTTGTGGTCTAAAATATGATCTGTTCTAGAAAATGCCACATATACACTTGAGAAGAATGTGTATACTGTTGTTGGGTAGAGTGTCCTGTGTATGTAAGATCTAGTTGGTTTGTTGTGTTAAGTCTTCTATTTATTTACTTATCTGCTGTCTGGTTGTTCTGTCCATAGTTGTAAGCAAGATACTGAAGTCTCCAATGACTATTGTAGAATTGTCTATTTCTCCCTTCAGTTATGTCAGATTTTGCTTCATATATTTTGGTGGTCTGTCCTTAGGTGTACAAATGTTTATAATTTTCTATCTTCTTATTGTATTAAAACTTTTGTTAACATATAATGTCCTTGTTTGTTCTTATAAACTTTTTGTATCTAAAATATATTTTGTTTCATATTAGAAGAGCCACTTCTGCTCTATTTTGGTTGCTATATGCATGAGATTTTTTTTTTTTACCATACTTAAACTTTCAATCTATTTGATTTTATCCATTCTGCCAATTTCTGTCTTCTGATTGGAGAATTTATCCATTTATATTTAAAGTAATTCCTGGGGCACTGGGGTGGCTCAGTTAGGTAAGTGTCTGACTTTGGTTCAGGTCATGATCTCATGGTTCATGAGTTGGAGCCCTGCATCAGGCTCTCTGCTGTCAACACAGAGTCTGCTTAAGATCCATTGTCCCCCTCTCTCTCTGCCCCTTCCCCTTCTCAAAATAGATAAGCATTAAAATAAAATAAAAAATTAATTACTAATAAGGAGGGACTTTTGCTATTTTGCTATTTGCTTTCCATATGCCTAATAGCTTTTTGTCCTTCATTTCCTGCATTGCTGTCTTCTTTTGCATTTAGTTGATTTTTTTGTAGTGAAACATTTAAATTCTTTTCTTGTTTCTTTCTGGGTATATTCTATAGCTATTTTATTTGTGGTTACCATAAGGATTGCATTTGACATCCTAAAGTTATAACATTTTAAATTTAATTGACTTCAGTAATATATAAAAACTGTTCTTTTACAGCTGTGTTCCCAAGCTTTTTAGTTGTTGATTTCATAAAACTACATTCTTATACATCATGTGCTCCAAACATAAAATAACAATTCTTTTAAATAAAGCAATCTCTGAAATTATGTATAAAATACGATTTGGAGTTCCAAAGTTATGGTAATAGTAGTTTTGATATTTGCCCATGTATTTACTGTTATTGAAGTCTTTATTTCTCCATATGGCTTTGATTTACTGCATAGTAACTAGTAATTTCACCCTGAAGGACTCCCTTAACCATTTCCTGGGGAGAAGGTAGAGTGGTAATGAACTCCCTCAGTCCTTATTTATTTGAGAATGTCCTGATTTCTCCTTCACTTTTGAGGGAGATTTGCTGGATACAGAATTCTGGGTTGACATTTTTTTTTTCTTTTGGCACTCTGAATATATCAGACCACTGTCTTCCAGTCTCCAAAGTTTCTGATGAGAAATCTGCTAATTATCTTATTGATGATACCTGTATGTAAGATTTGCTTCTTACTTGAAGCTTTTAAGATTCTTTGTCTTTGTCTTTCCAAAGATTATAATATGCCTCAGCATGGATCTCTGAGTTCATCCTACCTGAAGTTCATAGAACTTCTTGGATGATATCTGGGAAGTTCTTAGCCATGATATCTTCAAATATTCTTTCTAGCCCTTTCTCTCTCTCTTCTCCTTATAGAACTCCCACAATATATTTGTTGATCCACATAATGTTGTCCCACAGGTCTTTCAGGTTCTGTGCTTTTCTTCAATCTTTTTTCTTTCTGCTCCTCATCCTGGATACTTTCCATTGTGTTATCCTTAAGTTCACTGATTCTTTCTTCTGCCTGCTTAAATCTTCCTTTGAATATCTCTAGTAAATTTTTAAATGTCAGTTATGGTACTTTTAGCTTCAGAATTTCTTTTTGGTTTCTTTTTAGGTTTTCTATCTCCTTGTTAATATTTCCATTTTGTTCATACCTCATTTTCTTGTCTTTCTCCACATCTTTCTTCCTTCAGTTCTTTGAGCATCTAAAACCATTGTTTTAAAGTCTTTGTATTGTATATCTGACATTAGGTCAGTTTTGGTGACAGTTTCCATTGATGCATTTCCCCCCCTTTGATTGGGCCTTTCTTTCCTGTTTCTTTGCATGCATTGTAATTTTTTATTGAAAACTGGACATTTGAATCCAGTTCTGTGGTAGCTCTGGAAATAAGATTCTCCCCCTTCCTCAGGGCTAGCTGATTTTTAATATAATTAACTAATATATTTATTTTCTTATCTCCAGAGGCTGTCTCTGTGCTGAGGATCCGCCTGAGGTATAAACCTAATGCCTTCTTATTTCTTTCCTGAGCCTTTTTGTGAGCATTCAAAGGACACCTTGTAATTTGCCACATACATGCAGTTGTTTTTGTATGTCCAAGTCTTTAATGTCTGACTCCCGAAAGGGGAAAAAGGGAAAAACGAGAATAAGTGGGTAAAGGACACTAGTCCTTTAAATTCCCTGGAAGTTGCTTCAGCAGGAGGAGGATGGTGTTGCAACAGTGAGGGAGGTGCAACCAGAATGGCTGCCACCTCTTCATCTGCACGTTTGTGTTCAGAAGCAGCAACCAGAGATCAAGCATTGACCTGATATTTGGAGGGTCTTTTGTTGCCCACTTTGACTATCACAGACTGCTTTAGGAACGTGTGTACAGCTGCCCATCGTGAATCTGTAGGTGGGAAATGGGTAGATGCTACTTTGCTAAGAGCTGATATTGACTGAAATCAACCACAATTTAATGCCCAAAACTCCCTCCTGGAAGTTACAGGCTTTCAATAGATTCCAAAATAGCTTCAGTAGAGTCCAAAGTAATTACTTCCGATGGATTTTGGTTGTACAGTTGTGTTGGTGGAGAGACAGATTCCTGGTGCTTCCTACTCTACCATCTTCCTAGCAATGAGCTTTATTTAGCCTTTTAAGGCCTGTTCTCTTAAGATGAAAAACTCCTTCCTGATCCCATACAAATGTCTTGGATATGTGCAAACACCAGCATAGTCAATAGGAACAGTTTCATCGCCCTCAAAAAGAAACATTGTACTCTTTAACTATCAACTCACTATCCTAACCCTAAGTGACTACTAATCTACTTTTTATTTCAATGGATTTCCCTATTCTGGACATTTCATATAAATTGAACCATATAATATATTGTCTTTGGGGACTAGTTTCTTTCTCTCAGCATAAAATTTTCAAGGTTCATCCGTTTAATACTGTTTTAAATACTTCATCCCTTATAATTGCTAAATAATGTTCCATTGTGTGTGGGCATACCAAATTTTGTTTATTCATTCTTCAGTTGATGAAAATTTGTATTGTTCCTACCCTTTGGCTATTATGAATAACACTGGTGTGGATATTCATATACAAGTTTTACTGTGGGCATATTTTCATTTCACTTGTGTATGTGTCTAGGAGTGGAATTACTGAATCATATGGTAACTCTGTGTTTAAACATTTGCAAAACTGCTGACTATATTCTAAAGTAGCTGTATCATTATACATTTCCACCAATAGTGGATGAGGGTTCCAATTTTTCCAAATCTTCACCAACATTTGTTATTATCTGCCTTTGATTCTAGACAACCTTGTAGGTATAAAGTGAAATCACATTGTGGTATAGACATGCATTTCCATGATGACTAATGATGTTGAACATTTTTTTTCATGTATTTATTGTCCTTTTGTATAATTTCCTTGGAGAAATATTTATTCAGATCATTTTCCTATCTCTTAATTGGGTTATATTTCTTTTTATCATTTGGTTGTATTATAAGAGTTCTTTGTATATTCCAAATATACACAAGTCCCTTATCAGATATATGACTTGCAAATATTTTCGCTCATTCTGTGGGCTGTCTTTTCACTTTCTTGATACTGTCCTTTAAAGCACAAAAGTTCTTAATTTTGACTAAGTCTAATTTATCCAACTTACTGTTTTCTCTTTTTTCGTTCATGCTTTTGGTGTCATATCTAATACCATTGCCAAATATGAGGTCAGGAAGATTCACTTCTATGCTTTCTTATAAGAGTTTTTATATTTTGTCTGAACTTTTTTTTTTTTAATATTTATTTTGGGGAAAGCACAAGCAAGGGAGAGGCAGAGAGAGAGGGCCAGAGGATCCAAAGAGGGCTGTGCAAGGACAGGCCAACAGCAGCCAGCCTGATGTGTGGCTTGAACTCATGAACCATGAAGAGATCATGACCTGAGTAGAAACCAAGAGTCAGTTGCTCAACTGACTGAGCCACCCAAGCGCCCCTGTCTTTCATCCATTTTGAGTTAATTTTTGTATGTGGTGTGTCATAAGAGTCCAATTGTATTCTTCTGCAGATGAATATAGAATTATTCCAGAACCATTTGCAGAAAAGACTATTCTTTTCCTATTGAATTGTCCTGGCATCTTTATTGAAAATACATTGATATAGACACATGGGTTTATTTCTGGACCCCCGATTCTATTCCATTGATCTATGTCTGCCCTTTCATTGGCACCACATTGTCTTGATTATCATTGCTTTGCAGAAAGTTTTGGAATCAGGATACATGAGTCTTATTTGGTCTTCTTTTTTGAGGTTGTTTTGACTTGCAATTCCATATAAATTTTCAAATCCATTTGACAATTTCTATAAAGAAGTCAACTGGGATTCTGGTAAGGATTGCACTGAATCAGATCAGTTTGGGGAGTACTGCCATCCTAATAATATGAAGTCTTCTGACTTATGAACATAGGATTTTTTCCCATTTATTTAGATATTCTTTAATTTCTTTCAACAATGTTTTGAAGTTTTCAGAATATAAGTTTTGTGCTTTCTTTATTAAATTTATTCCCGAGTATTTTATACTTTTTGGTGTTTTTGCAAATGAAATAATTTTCCTTATTTCATTTTCAGATTGTTAATAGCAACTATATAAAAATACAATGGACTTTTATATATTAATCTTGTGTCCTGCTACCTTGCTGAACTTGTGTATTAGTTCTAATAGTTTTGGGGTTTTTTCTTATTGGTTTCCTCAGGATTTTCTGTATGCAAGATCACATCATCTGTGAATAGAGACAGCTTTTTGTTTTCCTCTCCAATTTGAATGTCTTTTATTTCATGTCCAGTGATGCTTGGAACTTACCACACTCTGCTGCAAATGAAGTCAGTTGCTTTGAGGGAACATCAGGAACCATTTGTTTCACGGTTTGCATCTCACCCTGGACAAAATTCAAAGTTCTGGAGCTCAGAATGGCAAGATTCTGTCTGTGTGACATGCTCTTTCACTGTAGTGGGGGAGAACACATAGATATTTATGGCTTGACTGTTCCAGAGCCAAACCATTGTTTTATGAACTCGGCCAAGGGGACCAGGCTCCAGTATTCTCAGCAACACCACCCTCAAGGTGGAGCCTCCATTTTCTGGGTGGGAGCTGGGCAGAAAGAAGCCTTCACCTCTGGGCCACTCTCACCTGAGACATGGTCTTAGTAATAGGCAGCTGGAGACAGGATGATAAATGCTGAAGTCCTGTCTTTTCCAGGAAGAAAGCTTCCAGTGGGGAGTTAGAGAGAGATGGAGTCCTATGTTCTTGGCTTCACAGCCTTGAGCAGAATCTCTGCTTTGCTGAGCTGGGAGGGAGGGGGAATGGAGTAGGTCTCATTTCAAATACTATGGAATCTGTCTGTTCTTGCCACATCACATTTTAGCAGATTTTCTTGGATATATGTTTCTTCATATGGTGGATATCCTTAGGACCATTTCCATAGACTTTAAAGGGTTGTTTTAAAAATAATTTTTATCAGTTTTACTGGAGAGTGGGTCCAGGGACCTCCTTAATGCTGTCGTGCATGGAAGACTTTCTCTGTGTGACTTATATTTAAGATTCTTCATTCATCATTTAGTTGTCAGTCTTGGGCAGATACCGGTTTTTTATTTTAAAAAAACATGAATACTCATTTCAGCCTTATTTGTAATAGCCAAAGACTGGAAATAATCCAAATGCTCACCAATAAGTGAATGGATAAACAAACTGTGATAGCTCCTTACAATGAGTACTACTCAGCTGCAAAAAGGAATGGTCTATTGATTCACTCAACCATGATATTAGTTGGAGCGAATGGCAGAAAAAGGCAGACACTGTGTGGATCTACTCACATAAAACTCAGAAAATGCAAACTTGTCCATAGGGACAAAAAGCAGATTGTGGATGCATGTGGCTGGGAGAGAGGAGGGGTGGGGTAATTATTCATGGTAACAGGAGACCTTGAGGAGTGATAGATGTAATTATCTTGATTGTAGTGATATTCTTACAGGTGTAAAGCATGTCAAACTTATCAAATGGTACACTGAAAATATATAGTTTACCATATGCCAATTAGATTTCAATAAAGCCATGCAAAATAAAGTTAAGAGTTAAAGCCCAATTGTTTTTCATATAGTTTCTCTTACAGTGTTGACTTGTGCTACTGAGTAGTTAGCTGGCTGGGTACATCTATACTAATTGAACCAACTAGTTTGTAGTGTTCTGGGAACAGCCAAGGTGTCCCTGAAAATTGGCTGCTTCTCTTCCACCACGTGGAAGTGTGTTTTATTAAATAAAGTGTGTTTTATGAAATAAAGTGTGTGTTTTATTAAATAAAGGACAGAGAAATGAAATGGCCAGTTATCAGGCCCAAGCTGATGCATTCTTGACAGAAATCATTGACTTTTATTCTTGCTGGGGCTCCGTTAAACTAATCACAAGGAGACACACCATTTCTACCACTACTTTGTGAGGGGTCACTAGCTGAACTAGCTTGATGCCTTCTACTTCAACACTCCAAATGTCAGAGCTGCGCGAAGCTGAATTTATTTTGAGTTTGAACATGCAAAGCAACCACCCTTTGTCCTCAGCATATGGCCCAGAGCAGAACAACGAGAAATACGTAGGGAAGGGGCAAGGAAGTCTTCTACTGGTTTAAAATCCAAGCAAGACGAGGAGGCGGTATGTGACTTGCAATGCCGGCCAAAGTAATTTCCTGGCGTGGGAGGAGCTGGGTCGGTTCACAGGCCACCTTTGGCCCCTCACATCCTTTTCATGTTTCCTGAAGTCTGGCTCTGTCTGGCTCCCTTGTTCAAGCCCAGGGACTTCCTGTGGGCCTCTGACTGGCTGGTACCTCCTGAAATCACTTCTGCTTCCTCTTTTCTCTCCTTCTTCCCTTATTTCCTGTGTGTGACAAATCAGGCAGGTTTTGAGGGGGGGAAGGCATTTGATTGTGTGGATTTCCCTCCAGGCTGCTAGGGACTTGCTTTATCAAAAAGAATCCAGGCAGCAGGTGGGAGAAGCTCCCCGTAGGAGCCTATCCTGGCCTGAGTTGTATGGAGATTAACTGTTAGCCTAGGATCCCTCATAACCGCTTTAAGGTAAGTAGCACTCAACAGTGATTTTTATACTCAGGTTAAATATGTCTTTAAAGCAGAAAGTGATTCCAAATCTAATTAAAACTATCCTAGGAAAACAGAGGTTGACCCATAGCCCCAGGGTTTGAGTGATGAGCTGGATGGACGCTGCAGCCAGGAAGCAGAGGGGCGCTCCTGACACCCAGGCCTGCTCCCCACCCTCCCAAGGCTCCTCAGAGTGTAGCCTCAGGTGAACCACTGCTGAACTGGGAGACAAACCCAGCCCAGCAGGACTGTATGATCTGCTCCTCCTATGGAGCTGTGGTCTGGGCCCACTACAGCCTCCCTATAAGGCACACTTCCTGTGTTTGAGGGTCAACTAAATTTTAATTTATTGCAAAATCTGGAAATCATTCTGAGCTTCTTGGAGACAGGTATAGGCTAAAGGTTTTAAGAGGATTGATCACTTCTGAACACCCACCTACATTACAATTATCCATTGCTGTCACTTACAATTATCATTGCATTTAAAAGGAAAGGATGATGATGTAGCCCATGAGCAAATTCTGGGGATTTGTAGGGTGTAAAGGACAGGGGTTGTTTGCCTTAGAGAAGAGGGACTTTTAGGATTCATAAATGTCTCCAAACATTTATAGGCAGATTTTAAAGACCATGGAGGGCTGATGTTCTCTATCTCCCCAGAGAACTCCACTTTGGGTAAAAACAATGTGGTTGGGGAAAAGCAGCACCAGCACCAGGCTGGGAGCGGCCGCCTCTCCCAGTCGCCATCCCACATTGGAGACGGGAATATATGGCCTTTGATGCTGTTTCCAGACAGATATTGGGCCTGTGGTGCGCTGGCAGAAAAACAACGACTTTGGCTGCTTTTGCAGATGAGAACCCAGGAGAAATGCCTGGGCACAGACCCTGGGGCAGGAACTTGCTTCCCACTGGCTTCTAGGTACGGTCCTCGACAAGGTCTGTCACCGCTCAGTGCCTCAGTTTCCCCATCTGTACACCAAGAACCACAACAGCCCCTTCCTCATGGGGTGGGGATGAGGAGAAGGCAGTGAGACGACGTAGCAGGCTTGGGAGCTCAGTGAGCCCGCAGTGCTGAGCGTTCTTGCTGACGCCGCTGTTCCATGGCGAGCACGGAGTCAGCCGGAGTCCCGGCAACACTATGAGTCACAGACAACGGAGGAAAAAGCGCAGGGCTCTCCAGAGAGAGGATGGAAAGACCTTGCTCTGGGTCAGGGGCAGCTCTCTATGCAGGCCCTGGAGCCAAGCGCTCCGGGTCCTTCCGGGTTTGGTGCTGACTGTAGGCAGGAGCCCCAGTTACCTCTTAAGTGTGCAGTTGCTTCTGTTCTCAGTCTGTCCTCTGGTCCTCATGACGCAGGACACCTTCTCCAGCAGCAAGCGGTTGTCCCTGTCGATGACGGCGAGCCGCTCCTCCTCCAGCTGCGGACAGACACACAGCGCATCCGAGCTGCTACCGTGCGGATTTGCCGAGCAGACTGCCTCAACCCCAAGTTTCCTTTGACTTGCGCACACTGTGGGTTTACATCGCTGCTACAAATACCAGCAAGACCTGCTGTGGAAAGCTTCAACAGCGACCATGACACAGGCAGACTCCTTTGTCTATAAACTGGAATAGTTAGGAAGGGGCCAAAGCTCATATGCTCAGAAAGGAAGTAACAGCAGCAATGCTATAATTCTTTGTGAAATTAGGTTACCCTCCAAAACTGTGACAGTGATGCTAATGAGGAAATCACTTCATGTTTTAAAAGAGGTATTTTATACTGTTCAGAAGAAGAGATTGGAGCCCAGAGGAAATGAAAAATCTCTTGTTTTAGGTTTTAAACTTGACTGATCTGCTGATTTGCTTGAGAATGATTATTTAGCTTCTGTTCTGCCCACCTCAGGTATCATTACTAACAGGCACATAAACAGCACACGACATTTTGCTTGGGAATCATTACTATCAGCATAACCATGAGAGTCTTATTCTCACCAGATGGCTTAAACTTGAAGCACTAAAATTCTGCAGTGGTCAGGAAATGGTCTTGTTTGAAGGAAGGGTGCTAACTGTTGCTCTGGAATGCCACTGCCTCTGTGCATCCCTGCCCCTCCCTGCCCTCTCTTCCTGGAGACCAAGGGTCTGCAGGAAGACTGGAGATGAGTCCCCCCGTCCCTCCTCCCCACGGGCGCCTCGCTGGCAAAGTGAGGCTAACTGGCTGCTGACATGGTGTGTCATTGTTGATAACGGGAACTGTTTATCCCTTACTGAGCCTGCATTTCCCATTTCTTGGGTTTCTGAGGTGACGTTTCCTCATTGGCTATAATAGTAACTGAGGTAGAACTTAGATTACCTTCAGCTTCTTGAGTTTCAGGTGAAGGTGGCTGAGGCTGAGTGGGGCGCGAGAGTCCACGAGGGGCTGGGCATCCTGGACCTGCGACACAGAGAGGCAGTGTGACCCCAGACACAGTTTTAGCAGGCAATTAACATGAACTCAGACTGGGCAGCTTCTGGGCTGTGGCACCGGGGACAAGTATAAATAATTGTGGCACTGAAGATTCCAAGTCAGTCTGGGACAGACACTCCTGAATGAGACTCAGGCCTTGATTCAGAATTCGAGTGTTCCCAGGAAGCAAACGTGCGGCCCTGGGAAAGGAACCTAACACTGTGGTTTTCAAGCAGAGAATGAAGTGGATATGGAGTGAGACTTCATTAAACGTAACTGCCAGTGGACATTTCTGTTCTGTTGCCAGAAGCCTTTAGGACAGTGAATTATGAAACTGTATCCACCTCACTCTAATTTCTGAGCCTTCAGCAATATGCTCAGGATGAGCACCTGAAACATCGATTAGCTGAAAAATGATCTCTGCAGTTTCCTATCAGAAAATGCACAAAGAAGGGAAGAAATTTATAGTTGAAAATGTGATTGAGTGGGGCCCCGTGGGTGGCTCAGTTGATAACGTGTCCAACTTCCATTCAGGTCAAGAGCTCAAGGTTTGTGGATTTGAGCCCCACATCAGGCTCTGAGCTCTCAGTGCAGATGGGATCCTCTGTCTCCCTCTCTCTCTGCCCCTCCCATGCACGAGCTCTCTCTCTCTCTCTCTTTCTTTCAAAAATAAATAAGGAGTTAAAAATAAAATAAAATGTGATGGAGTAAATACATGAGGGCTATATGTATTACCATCTGCAATAAAAAGGAATCTCCCTCCTCCATATTCTAGATACTTGAGGTAGATCAAGGGCTGGGTAGCAAGAAGGTTGAAAAGCACACTAAGGAATTGGAGCTTGGACCCTAACATGAAGGAAACACTGAAGAACAGAAACAAGAGAGAAACACAAGCACATCCATGAACTGGAGGCTCTCTGTCACTGTGTGTGGAAGAAGACAAGACCAGAGGAGGGCTGGTGGGCCACAAGCTGGGGTAGTCATCCAGTCATCCAGCGGTGGGGCGGTCAGCAGAGGTGTACCTCTGTGGTGTGGGTTAGGGTCAGAGGAGTCTGGCCTCCTGGGGAGGGGGGGATGTGTCTGTTGGGGTGGGGATGAGGGAGAAAGGGGTGCTGAAGAACGGCCCAAGGCTTTCAATTTTGATGCCCAGTGACTCTAGGACGGGAATAAAGATGGTGAGCAGCCTGGGGAGAGGCCAGTAAACCCTGTGTTGGGTGTGTGTGTAGCTAGCTATCTAGAAGCAATTTAGTTGGGCAACAAGTAAAAATTTTAAGCTAAGTATGGTTATTAAAAATACGACACTACGGGTAGCCTGGGTGGTTCAGTTGGTTAAATATCCAACTTTGGTTCAAGTCATGATCTCATGGTTTGTGAGTTTGAGCCCCGATCTGTGCTGACAGCTTGGAGCCTGCTTCAGATTCTGTGTCTCCCTCTCTCTCTGCCTCTCCCCACTTCATGCTCTGTCTCTCTCTCTCAAAAATAAATAAACATTAAAATAAATAAATAAATAAATAAATAAAGTATGACACTAGCTTGCTTTATTGTAGCACTTACATTTTTTAATAGTTTGTTGTCAAGTTGGTTTCCATATAACACCCAGTGCTCATCCCCACAAGTGCCCTCCTCCATGCCCATCTCCCCCCTGAACCCCCACACCCATCAGCCCTCAGTTTGTTCTCAGCATTCAAGAGTCTCTCATGGTTTGCCTCCCTCCCTCTCCCCCACTATTTTTCCCCTTCTTCTCTCCCGTGGTCCTTCGTTAAGTTCCTCCTAATCATCCTATACATGTAGCACTTACTTTTTGACCAGGGTCTTTGGAACACACTGTCTTCCTAGATGTTCCTCTTGTCTGTTATGCACATTACATACAAATGAAAGGAAGGGCTTTCTTACAGAGAAATGCCAGTTGAAAGATGTAGAAAGAGCGGAGACACTGAAAAGTTGCCATTTTATAGCCAACGCAGTACAGATTATTTGGCACAATCATCAACTGATGTTCAGTCTTGGGGGAAAGCACGATAAGAAAGATGGAGCTTGAGTAACTGATGTGGGGATCAGAGGCGGCTGCCAACGTGGCATGATGAGAAGTGACAGGGTTCACCTCCAAGAACCCCTGAGATGCTCAGCACCGAGAGATATCAGGAACCACAAATACCTGGCAAGGCCCAGAGCAGGGGCTTTTTTGTCTTCTTGGGAAGCTGGGACATCTGACATTGTCTGCCGTGTCTCATGAGGCAGGGGACCACGTTCTCCCCCCAGAAGATACCAGAGCTTCTTCTCTGGAGATATGGGGTATGGGAGACTCTGACCGAAGGCACAGTAGGTGTGGCTGAGGTTGGTGGGGGGGCGGGGGCAGCGCTTCTCCCAGCCCTGCCCCTAAAAATTTGCAGGTTCTCCAGACAGATCTCCAAGGAGATCATGCTGCTCCTAACACCACACGCCCTGACATCGGGAGTCCACAAAACTGGATTAACCAGAGTATGTACAGCCTCCAGTCAATGTCCACTACCTTGTTCTCCAGACACTGGAGGGATGTCTCCAACATGAAAGAGAGAAATAAAGAATCCAAATAAGGGTCTGGAAGAAACAGAGATGAACGGATTAGAGGAAAACACCAAGTAAACTGTAAGTAACAACCTTGGGTAGACAAAAAAAGATGTTGTGTCCATAAAACAAGAATGTGATTCTAGGAAAAAGGAATGATTACTGACAATAGCCCTTGAAAATTAAAAATGAAATAAAAATTAAACTAAGGAGCTGAGGATGAAACTAAGGGACCTCTCCAAAGTGAGCCAAAAAAAGAGAGAGGGGCAGCAGAAGAGAAAATAAAAGGAAACCAGAGGCTCAATATTGGGTCTCTGACATCTAACTTGTAGGGTTTCTAGAAAGGGGAAGGGGAAGGAATTTTTAGAATCTCTCAAATGACAGGCTCCATCAGAACGAACTCAAAGAGACTCATATAAAAGCACGTTATCATGGAACATCAGAACATCAGTAGTAAAGATGAGGTCCTTCCCAGACATTTCCAGAAAGAAACCTCCACATGCCCACAGTTACACAGGAGTCAGAATGGCTCTGGATTTTTAAGAGAAGGTGGTGGCTGCAGCGGAGGGGTGGCCATCCATTAACATAGCTCATGCTCAACCAGCCACAGTCTGGGACTGTCACTGAGAAATGGGTGTCCTGTCAGGGACATTTCCCAGGACTCCTGACACCTGGGTGTGGCCATGTGATGAGATCTTGCCAATGCAGCATCAGCAGAGTGATGTTCCAGTTTTAGGCCAAGATTTCGATGAAGCAGGTGTGCTTTCTGTGAGCTCTCCCCTCCCACTGGCCAGACCCAGGTCATCACAGAGCTAGTGGGTAGAGGAGCCACAGGTGACTGGAGCTGGTCTGGGTCACCCACACCCGGGAAGAGGAGCAGGGATTACATGATGATGGTGTTGGGGACTTTATACATTTAGGGTCTATTTGTTATAACATTTCTCATGACCACAACTTAGGATGAGGACCAGTGCCTTTAATACACCGAGGAAAGACAATTTCCATCCTAGAATCTTATACCAAACTTTCTATCAAGAAAGATGAGAGAATAAAAGCATTTTTAACACAGAGACCAAAACAAAACAAACAAACAAACCCAAACCAAAACAAACCCCAGAAAACGAAAACCTCTGCTGCACTAGGGAAGCTCAGGCATGATGTGCTTCATCCCACTGAGGGCGGCGGACAACCAAGGTGCTGAAAACATGGTGCCCAGGACAACTGTTTTCAGCTTGGGAGACCGCAAAGGGAGTTCCCTGCACACTAGCTCAGCAGGCCCAGAACCGCACCACATGCCATCCGGCTGGAGGCAGGAAGGTGGAGGACTGTGAAGAGGGGTGGGGGGCTAAAAGATTATTCGATGTTCCTGAGTGTTTGAGAATTTATTCATCAGCATTTGATGACTGATGGAATGTTTAAGAAAAAGTAGCTACAAATATATAGAAAACTCAAGCAACATGACAACAAGGCAACCATTAACTCTTACAAGAAATTGTAAGGGGCACCTGGGTGGCTCAGTCTGACTTTGGCTCAGGTCATGATCTCATGGTTTGTGAGTTGGAGCCCGGCATCGGGCTCTGTGCTGACAGCTTGGAGCCTGGAGCTGCTTCGAATTCTGTGTCCCTCTCTCTGACCCTCCCTGGCTCACACTCTGTTTCTCTCTGTCTCTCAAAAATTAGAAAAAAAAAAATTGTAAGAAAGGAGATATAATTACAACCTGACTCAAAAACAAGTGGTTCGGCATAGGCACTATAACTGGTTATTGATTTAATAAAAACCGATTATATTTATGTGGAGAAGATATGGCAAATGAGCATATTCTTCTGGAAAATGGAGAGCAAAACCCGGAGAAACTGCCAGAATTGCTGAGCATGACTGCCTTGGAATGGGGCTTGGCTGTGGGGAGAAGCTGCTGCTCTTCATCAAAGCGTTTTGTACTATTTAATTTTTTTAAATGTGCTTATATCACTCTGATAAAAAATAAATGTAACTGAAGAATTACCGAATGAAAAGATCCAGTGCAGAGGGGACTAGAAAGGAGAGAAGAAGCATAATCATCTGTGAAGGCTCCGAGAGAGCGAGCAGCCAAGCAGCACAGGAGACTAGCCAACCCTGGCCAATAGCAGGAGCCTGGTACCCCGATGATGCAGACGGGCTTTCCTTGGCCATCCTCAGCTGCTTGGTACAGGTAGAACAGAGTGTACGTAGTCCCTTCCAGTCAGGTTTTGCCAGGAGTGTGCACATGAAGTAGAGGGTTCTGACGGCTCTAGAAGATCAGCAACCTTGACCCCGCTCTGACTTCCTTCAGCGCGCCATCTACCAGGTCCTACTGATGTGTTTCAGAAGTGTGGCGGGGACAGAGACGGAGCAAGGATATTGAAGAGCTCTCCCACCCCCTTGGAAAATTAACAAGTGCAAACGTCCTGTTCTATAGAGACATCGCACTGCACCTGAC